CTTTGGATGTACAGTAAATAGTAAAGTGCTAAATGCTTCATTCAATCAAACCAGCTGTGCTGCTTAATATTTTTGTGGAAACCATGATACATTTATGGGGGTTATTTTTAGGATTCTTAGATGAATTCAAAAGAACAGTGTTTTTTTTTTGTTTTTTTTTTCTACTGAGAAAACGAATACTGTTCGTTTTCTCACACAAACCACTCGTTTCATGTCTTAGGCCATCAATGTGTACTTAAATTCACGAGTCATTAAATCATGTTTAATTTGGACTTCTCTGTGCATGCTCTTTGAGGTGGACCCCATATACCTCCATTATATGACTGACAGACACGAACGCTTTGACCTAAAAATATATAAATTGAAAATACTGTGGAAATAAAGACACTTACATCTTGGATGCCCTTGAGGTAAGCTAAAACATATCAAAAATTAATTTCAAAGTGAACTATACCTTTAATGCAGTGATCTAATCAACCAATCACATGGCAGTTTCTTCAATGCATTTAGGGGTGTGGTCCTGGTCAAGATAATCTCATGAACTCCAAAATGAATGTCAGAATGGGAAACAAAGGTGATTTAAAGGGCACCTATTATGGAAAATTCACTTTTACATGGTGTTTGAACATAAATGTGTGTTGGCAGTGTGTGAGCAAAACCACCCTAGAATGATAAAAATCCATCCAGTAGTTTTTTTACAATCTCAATAAATCATCTGCACTGCCTCAGAACGAGCTGTTCTGAGATCCAGGTCTTTGTGACGTAGAACGGGAGACAGGGGGTTGATTGACAGTGTGGCTGTGGCCTAGACCCCGCCCTCGGTGATCTGTACACACCATCCTTCATTGTTTCAACGACGACAGCCGGCGGTAATGTCTCTTGGAAACGTAAATTAATGTTCTGTCGTGGACTCGTGGGTTAATCCTGTTGTTGTGGCTTAAAAGTTAATCCTCAAGTGTGGATTCTTGTCTACTGTTTGCGATCCACCGTCACCTCCAGTAACAGTAAGTGTATTTTATGATTTTTGAGCAAATAGTCTTTTCAGTCAATGTCAGCCAATTCAACAACAAATGCGTCTAAAGTTATTGCCGTCGTAGGATGTCTGTGTATATAATTTAAAACCTTGTTTGTATAGTGTGTAACCACACGTTTATAAATATATATATATTTAAATATATTGTATTAAAAACTGCATATATGTTGGTGTTCTGTAAGTTAGCCATCTTCTCACATTTGCCACAGAAGCACCCGTATGACAAGTAGCTAAACATGACGCCACAGGTCCCTCGCATAAATGTAATTTCGCTCGTACGTAGCAAACTTTATCACAGAATGTGTATGTAGTTTCAAAAACTTGCGCTAGTGTCTGTCTGTGTGTGTGTGTGTGTGTGTGTGTGTTGGACATCCATCATTTCAAATGGGACGCTATTACAACTCTAAAGTACATAAAAGTAGCAAATAACCATACCGAGACGTACTGGTCCATTCTCATATGTTTATTCTGCCGGAGTCTCTTCATGCTATTTATATATTCCGATTCAAACGTACGGCTGAATGACATTCAAAACGGCGCGTCTCTTCACTCTCTCAGTACCGACTGCCTGCCATAGGTATCAAGTTACGCCCTCATCCAAAGGCAGGGCGGGGATATGCAGCTCATTTGCATTTAAGGTGGAATACCCCCTGAAACAGCTCATTTTTAAGCAGGCCCCAAAATGACATTTTCAAATGGTTATAATAAATTAACTGTGGGGTATTTTGAGCTGAAACTTCACAAATACATTCTGGGGACACCTGAGACCAATATTACATCTTGTAAAAAGGGGCATAATAGGTGCCCTTTAAGCAATTTTGAGCGTGGTATGGCTGTTGGTTAGCCTGGCTGCGCCCGCCTACGCACTTCCGCTCAATTTCATTTTCCTTCAGTACTGCGTCTGGGACCGCTCCATATCCTTAGGTTTCCAGAAATCAATTTTTTGTAGGACCAATCAGCGAATAGAGGGAGTGGCTGAGAACGATGACGTTGATGTAGTGCGTCAGTTTGAGTGCAGCAGTAATGGCAGCGGAGAAAGACGTGAGAAAAGCTATTCGGTCCGTTGTTGGAAAAGAAACTGCCGAATATACAGAATTTAAAGCCGGATTGTTGTCGTCTCACCTCTTGTTGCACAACGGAGGACCAAGTGAAGGAGGCAGAAAGGTTGGAAGTTTGTGCTGGGCAGCTCGTGCACAATGACCGTGACATTTTGGACTTTAGCCTGGTGTTCGCGGTGTTCGGAAGCCCGAGTCCTGGCTGCTAAACTATTGTTGAAGATCCGCTCAGGAGTCATATGTCAGTCGCTCAGATTCCCAACAGTAAATTTACTGATTCTTGTGATGAATAGAACATTTTGAGCCCCTTTGTGCACTCGTACAGGAGGTTGGTGTGTCAGTTTTACATGTTGTAAATCATACAAATTGGTTGTGATTTAAAAAAAAAAATTGTCATAAATAAAAATTTGAAAACCCATACTTTGGAGACTATATTTGATTTTCAGTTTTAGATGTCAATGGTTAATTTGTTTTAATAAAAAAAAAAAAACTAAATGCCATATAAAAATGTACAAACACATACTTTGAAGACCATAATTAAGGTAATTAAGAAACAAAAATACGTAATATGAAAAATTGTTGTTTATTACACATCTGCAGACAGACTGATCATTCACTGTAACTTACAGCATTGACTGAATAATCACTGTCCTTCATGTCAAATATACATTTCGAATTAATAATTGTTCCTAGATTAACAAAACCTGCAGCTCTCGTTGACTGAAATCCTATTGTAAATTTAATCCTCTGATCATTCGGAGTTCGGACTTGTTGTTTCTTTTAGTCTATGGTTGTTTCCAGCCGTTTCGGCGCATGACATACGCCACTCACGACCACACATTAGCGATTGGCTATGGCAGATCGTGAGTGACTCTGGGCAGATCCAATAGATTTGAACTTTAATAGTGAACCCGCCTACAAGGAAGGAAACGTTTCTCAATTGAGGGAGGCCAGACTCTCTGTACAAATGAAATGTATGTACGAGAGTCTGGTAGAACCAGGCTAGCTGTTGGTGCCAGACGGCCCGGTCTGAGTATTTCACAATTGCTCAGTTACTGGGATTTTCACAAACAAACATTTCTAGGGTTTACAAAGAATGGTGCGAAAAGGGAAAAAACATCCAGTATGTGGCAGTCCTGTGGGCGAACATGCCTTGTTGATGCAAGAGGTCAGAGGTGAATGGGCCGACTGTTTCAAGCTGATAGAAGAGCAACTTTGACTGAAATAACCACTCATTACAACCGAGGTATGCAGTAAAGCATTTGTGAAGCCACAACACACACAACCTTGAGGCGGATGGGCTACAACAGCAGAAGACCCCACCAGGAAACACTTATCTCCACTACAAATAGGAAAAAGAGGCGACAATTTGCAAGAGCTCACCAAAATTGGACAGTTGAAGACTGGAAAAATATTGCCTGGTCTGATGAGTCTCGATTTCTGTTGAGGCATTCAGATGGTAGAGTCAGAATTTGGCGTAAACAGAATGAGAACATGGATCCATCATGCCTTGTTACCACTGTACAGGCTGGTGGTGGTGGTGTAATGGTGTGGGAGATGTTTTCTTGGCACACTTTAGGCCCCTTAGTGCCAATTGGGCATCTTTTAAATGCCACGGCTTACCTGAGCATTGTTTCTGACCATGTCTATCCCTTTATGGGACCATGTACCCATCCTCTGATGGCTGCTTCCAGCAGGATAATGCACCATGTCACAAAGCTCGAATCATTTCAAATTGCTTTCTTGAACATGACAATGAGTTCACTGTACTAAAATGGCGCCCACAGTCACCAGATCTCATAATAATTGAAGGAAATATATCAGCCTCTGCTGAACACGGATGGATTGCAAAGTTAAACCATCACAGTAGAATTATCCGTGGTAGTCAATTCGCCTCATTCGCACGTCTACCATGCTAAATGCCTCAATCGCGCCACAGGACATCTAGATGCACGTAAATGCGTCTTTACATTGACTTAACATTGAAATCACTCACGCCAGACACTCAAGAATGAGCGAGTAATCAAAAAAACCTTTGTTTTAGCCTCAATTGAGTGTAACACCGTACAGTATGTGTAACTTTGGCCATTCACAGTGGTGTGACTGGGACACTATCTCTGCTTGTCATCATAGAAACAGACTATCAAACTGATGTTTATTCCCGCTTTAGCAACATGCTGAATATGCTGCCGTCCTTTCGACACACAGTTCCGCTGCCCAGCGGACCTGCAACCGTTTTGCAAGTGGTTATTTCTCGTGAGATGTAACCAATCAGATAACGCCGTGGACGGGACATTGAGTTGAATGGTGATTTCAGAAAGGCTGCGCCAGTTATAGTAGAGCCAGCCAAAGTAGGCTAGCACATTTTCAAATAAAACTGACTTTAATCAAACCACGGATAAGTTTTGTGATATGTCTCGCCACTAGTGTAGTTGCACTGATCACTTTTAGGGGAATAAAAAAAAATAATAATAAGCAGAGGCAGGGATACATTGACCAGAAAGGGGGAAATCCCACGCATCCCCCCAAATTGCAAATCGCACCCTGTACACTATATTGGCCTGAGGGTGAGTAAATTATGGGATCCTTTTAATTTTTTTGAATGAACCAACCACTTTTTTAAATCATACTCTTCTTTGATGTGTTTAGACTAACCGTAACTCTATTACTAAAAACACCAAGCATCTTCATAAATAGGCATAATGAGAATCCAGAATGTTACGTCAGTGACCACAACAAAGCTTTAACTGCTGAGAATCATACACTGTTCTCAGAACTGGGTTATTTCCAGTACTGTGTCTCAGGTGCACTTTAAAGGAAAGGATGAGAAAAGAAAAGCAAAAACACCATTGCATGAATGCACCTAGTTGTATTGAAGACACATGCAGCAGTTAGAATGAAAATGTTTTTTTTTTTTTTATTTGTCAGTACACGTCACACACAAGTCTATAGTGACGTTTTGTCACTTGTTTCAAAGAACAGGCCATTTTTGTATGTAGACTCTGTATCATTGTCATTTAATGCGCTATCTGTCGTGTGGAAAGGCTCTGGCAGATGTAGCGTCTGTCCTCTGTAACTAGGATTCGGATAGCAACAGGATTTCATAGAGCTCAAGCCAGTAACTTCACCCTCCTCATCTACCTCGTCTTCCTCCTCAAAGACGACAAGGCCGAAGCCTTGCAGTAAAGTGCTCTGTTCAGGGGTCACGTTTTCACTGGGTTTGCTGAGATCTTGACACAGCAAGAGAACAAATTCATGCACTTCCTCCGTCTGTCTCAGGTCCTGCAACACAAACATTTTCTCATTTGGAATAACATGCTGATCAATCATGCACAATGAGATCAATTTAATTGCAAATATATCCTCCATTTATTTTGCTTCACTTTTCATTAGTAGGTCAACTCTATAGTTTATGTAAATCAGTTCTGTGAGTGGATTTTGCTTTTCTCGGTCTGATAGCTGCTTTTGAGGTACGTCACTGCAAATGCGCTGATGTGACGTTGTGGTTGATATTTTGACCTCACCACGGTTTTTTGCTGTTGTTTTTTGCTAACTGTGATGGAAGATTTTGAAAAAGTGGGTCATTATAATGTGTGGCATAATCAATCATGGCCTTTTTAAATTTTGAGGTTGTTTCATTGGAAATGGGTTTCGATTCTTCAGCAGTTTGTGTTGCTAACCTGATCTTGTGGACATCTTATTTCTGATGTATCAATCACAGGACTGGGTACTTTAGGTATCAACTTGTTCCTAAATCTGCAAAGCAAATAGACAGTTAAAGAAATGTTATAGTTAAATACATATACATCGCAGATGGTCTATATATATATATATATATATATATATATGTGTGTGTGTGTGTAAAACAATAAAGTTGTAAAAATGCAAGATTAAAGTTGTAATATTATAAGTTGTAATATATAACAACTTGTAATAATATAAGTTGTTATAAAATATAGTAAAAGATTAAGTCAAAATGACGACCGAGATGTGATTAAAGTTGTATGTTTTGTGGATAAAGTCAAAATTACCAGAACAAAGTCATTGAGTAAAGTCAGCAGTATAAGATTAAAGTTGTAATATTTTGAGAATCAAGTGAAAATTAAGAGTAAAGTCACAGACATGCAAGATAAAAGTCGTAATATTTTAAGAATAAAGTTAAATGGATGACCAACAATAGATTAAAGTTAATATTTTGTAAATAAAGTCAAAATGACCAAAAAACAGTCACTGAATTCTGAGAATAAAGAGAAAATGAGAATAAAGTCACACACTGTAAAAATGAATATGCTTTATCTAATCCAAAAAATTGTGGCAACAGTTTACAAGCAATATTATTAATTCAATTTAACAAATTAGAATTGAGTAATAATTAATGAAATTAAAAGTTAACCATTTAAAATGAGTAAAACTTACAACAACCAACCAAATAAACATAAATTGAAGTCATCATGGTGATTAGTGTTTGTTTTATGTTTGTTCTAAAATGACAGTTTTCTCCTTCAGTAATTCTGCTTGTTAACATCAGGTGTCTTCAATGTTGGCAATATAAAATAAAGAGTTCTTAATCTTTGATATTTTTATTAATTTTTTTTTCGTGTAAACTTTACTCATTTTAAATGGTTTTAAGGAATAATTTGATTAATTATTACTCAATTCTAATTTGTTAAATTTAATTAATAAATTGCTTGTAATCTGTTGCCACAATTCTATTGATTAGATAAAGCATATTCATTTTTACAGTGCAGAAATGCAAGATAAAAGTCTTAATATTTTAAGAATAAAGTCAAATTGATGACCAACAGGTTGTAATATTTTGTAAATAAAGTCAAAATGACCAAAACAGTCACTGAATTATGAGAATTAATGAATGAGAATTAGTCATAATATTTTGAGAATAACGTAAAAATAACCTGAACAAAGTAACAAAGTCATTGTATTAAAGAATTAAAGATTAAAGTTGCAATATTTTCAGAATAAAGTCAAAATTATGACAAACGAGTCATAACATTCCTTTAAATTACGAGAATTAAGTAGTAGCAAAACGAAATTAAAGTTTCAATATTTTGAGAATAAAGTCAAAATTACGAGAATAAATTTTTAGCATTATATTTCGAGAAGTGAAAATTTCAAGAATTGTGCTATAACAATATGTGATTTAAGTTAAATTTAATTTAATTAAATGTAATAAAATTAAAGTTGCAATATTTTCAGAATAAAGTCAAAATTATGACAAAAGAGTCATAACATTCCTTTAAATTACGAGAATGAAGTAGTAGCAAAACGAAATTAAAGTTTCAATATTTTGAGAATAAAGTCAAAATTACGAGAATAAATTTTTAGCATTATATTTTGAGAAGTGAAAATTTCAAGAATTGTGCTATAACAATATGTGATTTATGTTAAATTTAATTTAATGAAATGTAATAAAATTAAAGTTGCAATATTTTCAGAATAAAGTCAAAATTATGACAAAAGAGTCATAACATTCCTTTAAATTACGAGAATTAAGTAGTAGCAAAACGAAATTAAAGTTTCAATATTTTAAGAATAAAGTCAAAATTACAAGAATACATTTTTAGCATTATATTTTGAGAAGTTATAATTTCAAGAATTGTGCCATAACAATATGTGATTTAAGTTAAATGTAATTAAATTTCATTAAAATAAGTAAATAAAAAGTCAGATCTTTTTTAACAGTGTTCCTGAAACCATGGCCTTTTTTAGCTCTATACTCTACCAATAAAGCTACAGGTTATGTACAGTATAACACAATAGCATATCTTGGTGGTCAGTCAGTTCATCCGTGATAATCTCACCGCCTGACAGCAACAGAGCAGATTATAGTACACAAGAGGGCAACCACACAGACGCCCAGGATGGTCTGGTCCTGCCATGATAAGCCTGAATGAAAGGGCAGAACACATTTGCTATTGACAGGTATATTCTCACACCTCATTGTGTTTACTTCAAACACAAGCAGATAAAGGTTTCAGCTCTGCATAATCATTTCTCATTCTGAAAAGACTGTTTCAGTACCCATTTCTTCTGAGTGAGTTTCAAAGTTCACAGTTGAGTTCGGCCCTTTACCAGCCATTGTTTCTCCGGCTATAGAAACGGTGTAAGAGGCCCCTGGTTGGAGGTTCTTGATCTTGAAGCTGGTTTCATTTGCTTGGGCTTCATGGAGTGCTGAAGCAAGAGGAAAGGTGTTATAGTCAAGTTGTTTTTAATAGATTATTGTGTTGGCTATACCAGTGAAAAACTGTTATCTGCAGTTGTGACATTTCATATGGGGGTTTCATAGCAAATAGATGATCAGTAGAACTACAAACTTTCGTCTTACTTGTGTTTCCCTGTCCTGAAATCCAAATGAGATAATGCAGTAGAAATCCTCGCTGCTCCGCCACAGGAATGGAAAGCCAACGGACCACTGCTGATTCATGCGTCACATTAGAAATATTCACGTTCCCTGGACCTTTAATAGGTGCTGAAACAAATGCAAACATTCCATTGTTAAAATTAGAGATCATTCTCTTATTTATTATATCTTGGTCTTTGTGTTTCAGTAACGTAAATAGACTAAACAAGGGTTGCATGACATGCCAGTACCATATCGGTTATTTACGAAGCCTCTGATGGGACATGGTGATGAAAAAAATGAGATGGGAGGGAAAATGATTTCTCAAAAGCATTGAAATATAATTTTCCTTATCTCAGAATTTTTCCATTTCCATGTCCCTTTAGGGCAGGGTTCCTCAAATCTGGTCCGGCAGAGTTTAGTTCTAATCCTAATCAAACACGCCTAAACAAGCTATTCAAGGTTTTCAGAGTTACTAGAAAATTGCAGGTAATTGAGAACTGCTTTAATGGCACCGAAGTTATTGGCAGACATATCGTCCAATATAGAATATTTAATAGTGCAATTTACCATAATTTTACATTTAGCCGCCATCTAACGCATAAAGGGGTACCTATTATGTCCCTTTTTACAAGATGTCCCCATAATGTGTCTGTGAAGTTTTAACTCAAAATACCCCATAGATTCATGTTGTAAATGCCCATTTGTACAGTATGTATCTTTAAATGCAAATGAGCTGCTGCTTTTCACAAGAGGGCGGAGACATTACAGCTTGTGCCTCTGTTACTCTGCCAAAACCAAGGGGGTAATCCATCGGCCGGAAGTTGAAGCCTCACGGGAGCTGCCATCTTGTAGCAGAACTTCACTTGCGTTAGCATTCCCATTGACTCCCATTCATTTTGGCGTCACTTTGACGGCGAATAACTTTACATCTGAGGCGTTTGAAGACCCCATTTGTCCTTTATTTATTTCTAAAGAAACACGACAATGTATAAAATGCTCCATTAACTTGTAACGTATGTTATGGCCCCGCAGTTTTTTGTAAAGTAGGCTAACGATTGCGTCATACCCATGCGACTCTCTGTCGCACAGTAGAGAGATTACCGTATGTACAGGAGAAGAAGCTCGCGGGCAATCGGGGAAACGTGGAGGCAAAATGACAAAATAATTAATCAGAGTACCTAGCAAAATTGTCTCCTGCTCCTAGCTCATGGACAGCTCCTTTTCATACTCTCCACCTCTGCAAGTTTCGGAAGGGAATGATTCAGATTTCTCATGCCACAGCCACTAGAAGACAGACGGGTTGCTCACGTCACATCTACGTCGGCAAGCTCTGTTTGAGTCTGCGCGTCAGGGACGGAAGTGCTAAAAAAAATCGCCAAAAACGGGCTTCAATCGTCTCAAATGAGTTCCAATGAGATCGCTCTGTCCACTTCTTATACTGTCTATGGCCAAAACCAACATCTGTTTGGTTTTGATTATCATCTCTATTGCGGTCACGCTCATGCTCACGTGACATTGCAGTTCTTCATCATCATGAAAGTTTATTATCTGCATGTGTTTTAAAGGGGTGATGACCTGAGAAATCAAAATTTCCTTGAGCTTTTGACATCTAAGAGGTCATCATATAAAAATATCCTGTAAGTTTCAGACCTGAAAACATTCTTGTTAGTCCAATAAAAGCTTTTATTGACACCAGCCTCAGCAAACGACTCGTTTTTCAAAGTGGGGAACTGTGACGTCAAAGAGGATAAAACACCACCCCCGCAGAAGAAGATCAACGCCTACTTCAACACGGACGGTTTAGCCCCGCCCACCGATTCGCGCATTACACGCATAGCTAAATAACATAGATTCCTACCTCGTGATGACAAACCGGATCGAGCTACCGAGCAATACAGAATATTGAGCAGTGCCTGGTTGTGGAAGAAGACAGTCGCTGCATAAGCTTCCTCTGGATTCCAATAGGACTGCATGGATAAACTTTATTTTTAATGACATTCCAGCTGATGAGGGTAAAACCATCTGTTCGCTTCATTTCACTGAGGATTGAGTAAAGAACGGTGATGTGCGTCTATATTGGATCCGAAAGGAATGGTGCAACACATCAAAAACTCTGGGTCGAATGATTCCGGCTGCCATTTTACAACATTGAACGTTTTCAAAACAATTTCCCCGAAGTGCATTGACGGTTGAAACATTATAATGTGGAAGGTTGAAACATTATAATGGAAGATGGAAGTAGACCTGGAAAGGCAGCTCCAGTTCCCACAGGAGATATGCAGCACCACCTTAAGACCAGATGTGGTGCTGTGGGCTGCTGCTGTGAAGTCTGTGATACTGATCGAGCTGACAGTGCCATGGGAGGAGGGACTGGAAGCAGCCTACGAGAGAAAGAAGGCGAAGTACGCAGATCTGGTCGCGGAGTGCAGAGAAAGTGGATGGGGTGCGAGGCTGTACCCGGTCGAGGTGGGAGCCAGAGGCTTTGTGGGCAGATCAACGTCACATCTGCTCAAGGACCTGGGGCTACGGGGAGCCACACTGAGTAGATCCACCAAAGAGCTCTCTGAAGAAGCTGAGAAAGCAAGCCACTGGCTCTGGCTGAAACGACGAGATAAGGCTTGGGGAGTAACATCTAATTAGGTTTTGCTGCAGGGGGTGACAGGGAGACGTCCTTGTTCACTGCCCCGCCACCAGGAGATGTTCTGGGCTAAGGGGCGAAACGTCAATGAGCGGTGGTCCCCAGCTGAAGACCCTGCAGCAAAACCTTGCGGTATGCAGTCAGGTCTAGGCCCGGCTCAGGGAAGAGGACGCCCCTGCCATGCACAGTCCACCACAGGCGCCGTTGGAGGTGCGACAGGCCTAAGGTCAAGCAGAAAGACCACCTCACTGTAATGAATATATTGCAAAACTGTTATCCACTCACAGCAGTGGGCATTTACTTCCAAGTCTTCAGTGCGAGTCGCCCATTAAAACCCAGCGTTTTTCATGCATAGGCTCAACTTGGGTACAAAATAGCCTATTATTTATTAATTTTAATGTTTTTGAATGCAAAAACCAAGCAAACATCATAAGTTGACCTCAGACAACAATATAATAAAATTTAAAAAGCCAGTTCATGGCCCCTTTAAAGCCAAATCAGTCTAAATTTCTGATATGTGGTATTCACATCCGAAGCATGCAAACAGAAAGCTGGATGTCAGATGGAGCGTCCCATGAGTATTAATCTAAATTCTCTTTTAAATCTTATTGCATTTAAACTGTCAAATACACGGTTAGGGGAAAAACGCGCAGTTCACATAAACACAGCCGGTTATTTCTGTGAACGTAAACAGCAAGTAAAGAAATTGCATGTGTATAGATCTGAGTATTGAAGTGAAAGTAATATACAGTACCTTCTGCTATATATGGTGTTAATATGAATCAAACAACAAAAGAAAAAAAGAAAAAAAACACTCACTGCTCTTGATCGAATTAACTTTAGTATCTTTACTAAAACACGTTTCTTACTTTAATTCTGCTGTTAAAGGGTTAGTTCACCCAAAAATGTATATTCTGTCATTAATTACTCCCCCTCAAGTCATTCCAAACCTGTAAGATGTTCATCTTCGGAACACAAATGAAGATATTTTTGATGAAATCTGAGACCTTTCTGTCCCACCATTGACAGCAACGTCATTGCAACTTTCAAGGCCGGGAAAGGCGGTAAAGACATAGTTAAAATAGTCCACTTGACTACAGTTCAACCTTTATGTTATGAAGAGATGAGAATACTTTTTATGTTTTTATTCAACTAAAATCCTGACTTTACTTTATTTAACAATCTCTTCTCTTCCAAGCCATTCTCCCCATGCTGTTGACGTAGTGTAAACAGTGCAGCGTTTCTGCATTCTATGTCACGTCGGCTCATTATTAGCAAGCTCCTGGGTCGTCACACACATGACCCGGGTCAGCCAATAGTGAGCCTACGTACTGACATAGAATCCAGAAGCGCTGCATAGTTTACAATAAGTCAACAGCATAGGAGAATGATTTGGAAGATAAGAGATTGTTGAATAATGTCATTATTTATTGAGCACAAAAAGTATTCTCATCGCTTCATTATATTAAAGGTGTGGTTGATTGCGATTTCACTTTTTTCATTTTAAATAGTGTGTAATGTTGCTGTTGGTGCATGAATAGGATCTGCAAAGTTGCAGCACTGAAAATTCAGTGTAAGCAGAGATATCGTCTTTTAAAAATCTGGAAGTTTAATGCCTACAAAAACGACTTGATTGGGACTACAACGGGTTTTATACGCAACTAACCCACACATTTGCATCAACCCTCCCTCCGGAATATGCAAAAAAGGGCATGGCCATATTTCTGCGACTCATCGAAAGTGTGTTATTTTCACCCAGCTGTCAGGTTTTCTGTGTTTGGGCTTCCCATGGACGTTGTAGTTTGTCAACAATGGATACAATTTATGTTTGATTATATTCATGAAAATTACAATCGTAATTTAGCTCTCTGTGCTGCGCATTTACGGAAGACAGCTTCCAGAATCTCCACAAATTCAATGCCGGATTCAACAAGAAACTGTTACTAAAACATGAAGCAGTTCCAACTTTAAAACCAGAGGCAGCAGTTGTTGGGACACAACCTGTAAGTAGGCTTAATAATTTTAAATGTATTTGCATGTATATTTTTCAGACTTAATGTTTTAGTTTTATCAAATGCCAGTTTTATAGCCACTAGACTATTTATGCTATTTCGTGTATACGACAAACGCGTACAAATATTTTGGACCTGAATTTGTATATGTACTAATTTTGTAAATGTATTTTTCATGTATATATACTTTATGACGTTATTTTTCGATTTGATCAAGAACGTAAAACAGCGCCAACGCTGTTTGTGTATATAGTAGCCAGTCAGTTCGATGATATTGTGTAAAACAAACGTGTATAAAGTTAAAAAAATATATAGGCGAATTACCATTCAGAAACGTTTTGTAAGAGCCGTGTTTGGGGAAGTTCTGCTTGACTCTCTTCATCGCCGCTTTCTGGGTCTCATTCTGGCTCATACTGAGACTGCAGTGTCGACACCATTATGTACATTTGACAGGAACACATATGCAACTTTTGCCCGTAAAGGTAACGGGTGGGAATTCTCTGGACAACGTGAGCTACAGTTTAGCCAATCACAACACACTTGCCCAAACTAACCAATCTGAGCCCATAGCCTGTTTCTGAGCGAGTGATTTCATAGAATCAGGATGTAAACCGGTCGTTCAAATGACAGAGGAGAAAGCGGCTGACAATAAAGGTGAAATTTGTGAAAAATAAGACTTTTAAAAAAAAGAAAAACCACAAATATTTTAACAATGTGCCTTGAAAGTTGCAATGATGTTGCTGTCAATGGAGGGACAGAAATTGTGTTCGGACCCTTTAAATGCTCTGGCAAGAGATAAACATGTCAGACGGTGTACTGCTCACTCAGGGCGGGGCTATGATAATAGAGCAGAGTCCGTCAGCAGTTGTGGGTGGGGCCTAAACATTTGTGACATCACTAAAGCTACAATCTGCAAACCGCTTGTTCCGAGACAGGGGATTAAAAATGGAGTGGGTGGATTTTTACCATTATAGGGTGGTTGTGTACACACACTGCCGAGTGTCGACACACATTTATGTTCAAACACCATGTAAAGATAATCTTTAAAAACACTGATATTTTAACAACACACTGTTAAATATAATTTTAGCAAATTTCCAAATACTGTACATTATAATGATTTACATGATTTATTTTAGTTTTTAGTGTTTTATTTCAAGAATTTATTTAGACTAAATAGTATGAAAATTTAATATCGACTATTTATTGCTCATAACATAAAAAAGTTATCATCTTACTGATAACGGATAGAACCTTATCACCATTCTTAAGGCGCTTTTCCACTACGGTACGGTTCGGCTCAGTACGCTTCGACTCGGCGCGGAACAGTTCGGATCGCTTTTCGTTTCCACTGCAGTAGTACCCCTTCAAAGTGTGTGGGACTGATCGTTATTTGCGCGCGCCTCTACTGCCATGACATCATCTTAAAAGCGCCACATTTTCAAACCCACAACACAGGAACAATGGAGACTATCGAGAGGATGGTGTTCCTGATTCTCGGTATGTGGTTGTTTTTAACTGCTAGACGGAAAAATGTGTTTAAAATGAGGCTGATGGCAGCAAAACAAAAATACTGCTAAAAAAGTGTCTCGTGTCGCAAATCCAATGACGCTAGTAGTGACGCTTGACGATGACGATTCTGTCTGACCAATCAGTGATCTGCAGTGTTTCACGTCACATTTTAGTACCGGTACGGTACGCTTGGAACCTCAACAGACCAGGTACCATTTAAAGCGTCCTGAAGCGAACCGTACTGTACCGTACCATGCAGTGGAAAAGCACCACAAGTGAGCCGTACCGAACCGAACCGTACCGTACTATGCAGTGGAAAAGCGCCTTTAGTCTGGACTTACCTCCCTGTTCTGAGTAAAAAGGACACATATCAACAGTTTGAAGATGTTTCTTTCCCATGGTGTGTAGAAAGTAATAATGACGTACAAATTTCTCCACCCCTGTAATTAAAACCAGAGACACGAATTAGCATACACAGCACATGTTAATATGAATCATGAACATAGTGCTCTAAACTGGATGAATGACTGATCTCTACCCTTTTCAATGTCCTTGAATGTTTTATTGCCTGAGTGGTTTATTGTACTTGGTCGGGTCTCACCGTTCTCCAGCTTGTACCATTCTAAGCAGGTTTGATCACTCAGGGTGATCTTAGAGGGCTTGTCACAATCTGAAAATTAAAATAATCTTGCGAGTTTCCATTGAACTTTTTTTTTCTAAAGATTTTTCAAATGTTTGTTGCATGAGTCATTTATGACTTAACACTTTAGGACCCCTTCACCAAAAAAACCATACTTTTCGCTTGCTTCCTGCTGTAAGCTCACACACTCAGACATTCATTCACATATAGTACATGGAAACCCAAGCTAACACACTTGTTGCAGCACACTTACTGCTCAGATGTTTCACAGCGGGAATGACGATCTGCAGTGGAGGTGAACTTCCGACCTTGTTCGTTGCAATAATGGAAATCCTGGCCTCTGAATATGTGATTAAGGTTTTATAGGTTCGATCCGAAGTTGACTTTTTCTTTTTTTTCCTCTCTTTGTTTTTACAAGGCCAAACTACGACATTCAGCATGTACTTTACACCCCCAACAGACTGTTCAGCAGATGGTTCCTAAAGAAAATCACATTGGAGCATCATTCAAATCAAATTTCATTCATCTTACACCAACAAACAAACATTTCTGATCCCCTCTGTTCTTCGTATACTTACATCCCAGGTGAGATTAATATGCCTGGTCCCGTTCGTCCATTTTGTTTCAAGTTTGTGTACAAGCGAGAGGCTGATTTCTGCAGAAAGATGTTACATTTGTCAACCAAATATTTTTAGATGCTTTCACTTATTGAAAAGTTATTTCTTCCACTGTATGGGCAGATAGAGCTGAAATCAAACCTAAGGGAACGTCCTCCACTGGGCTCCAGTCACTCCAGAGAGTTTGTAGTGAGTCATTACATATATGTGGCTGCAGTTTGGCCTGCCGTCTCAGTTGGATCTGGTAGATCGTCTGTTTCTGTAGACGTAGCTTGTAGGAATCTAAAAATATATGAATCTCAGTCAGTTTTTATGTTTTGGACACAAATCATTTAAAGGGGTCTTACATAATAATTACATCTTTTCCACACCAAAAACAATGTATAGTGTAACTAAAAGTAAATTAGCTTTTCAGGACTATTTTCCCAACATTTCTATGACCATTAGAGCTGTTGTTTGTTGCTGTACCTTTAAGAATCCATGTAAACATTGTTGAAGACTCAAAGGATCAGAGGCTGCATAAAAACTGACCTCTGAAAGGATTTGCAGAGCAGTAGATGCCACACAAATCTGACAAACGTTCTCACGTTTTACTGTTTAACTTTTTATACTGTTAAAAAAATGTATGAGCTGTGTTTGGAATATCATACAGTGCTGCCAACATTATTAACATTATTTAGTGTGCACATAGTATGCACATTTACTGCATGAATAAATGCCTCTATGTCCTCAGAATACCTTATAAAATGTGCAGGATATACAGCAGTGCATGATCTAATGTATTCCCTAATCCAATGCACTTGACCTGACCTTCAGTTGAATTATTAGAAAATAAACTTTACTAATAGAGAAGATGTCAGTTTAACTGCTTCAAGAACAGCAATATTACTTCGTAACTGAGAAATGTTATGTAGCTTTTCAGTTGAAAAGAGTCTATTTGATAGTCACTTTCTGTGCACGTGTTTGTTTCTGTGTGTGTGTGCGCGTGTGTCTGTACTGTATATCTGAGTGTTTTTTATGGGAGAGAGGGAGAAAGTGCATGCTATCCTTAGATAATTAAGCATAATTTCATAGTGAAAACATGGAATTTTTCACTATGATTTAAAACATATTGACAGCATATATTTGCTATATATCTTTGCTTTGGTTCTTTTGCTGCTGTAGGCTTTAAGGATCTTTGAAATAACTTAGTAATAACTCATATGGAGTTGAAATGCAGTCAAGGCCTGTATGGAACTACTTTCGTGGAAAATAATTGCACACCTTAGAATGTTCATCAGCCAATCAGAATCAAGCATTCAACAGTAACAACTGTCATAACACAGAAGCATGCAACACAGGTAATATCCAATTATCAAGTTTTTGGCAGACATTTGCAGGTTTGGTAGACAATTGAAGCAGGTGAGAAATGGGTAGTTGTAGAAGGAATGGCAGTGGATAACAGTCTTATCTTTTGCAGATGAAAAGTTTTGGAGATGGTGGACTTGATGGCTCAAGCTGAAGGCAGACAACTGAAGACTGAAGGGTGAATCGTACAGGTAAGTGGTTCAGGTTTGAACAGCGAGACCAGACAGAGTGAACTGGGGTTTGACTGCTTAGTTATGCACCAATCATGATTTTTCATGGCCAATTCCGATACGTTTTTTTTTTTTTTTTTTTTTTTTTTTTTTTACAAGCATACTGGCCGATTCCGATATTTGTTTGTTTGTTTGTTTTTTAGCAACAAACAAGAAAGAATGTAAGTATACATAAACCAGATGTGTATTTGGTATTTAACAGGCCAAACTGGCTTCTGGCTGCTAAAAACAATAACTGAGCCATCTGAAATAAATGGCAGTAACTGTGCAGTAAGCATATTTAAAGGGTTAGTTCACACAAAAATGAAAATTAAGTCATTAATTACTCACCCCCATGCTGTACCAACCCCGTAAGACCTTCGATCATCTTCGGAACACAAATGAAGATATTTTTGATTAAATTTGAGAGCTGTATAACTACCACATAGGCTCCTAAGGGACTGGCTCTTGACGGCCCAGAAAGTCAATGAAGAAAATGTTTAAATATTCCATGTGACTACAGTGGCTCAACTTTAAGTTTATCAAGCGACGAGAATACTTTTTGTGCGAAAAAACAAACAAAAATAACGACTTTATTCGACTTTTCCTTTTCTTCCTTGTTGGCCTGAAACGAGACTTCCATTCGATTTCCACGACGCATGCGCGAGAACTGAACTGAAGTAGTTGAAGGAGATCGCAGTATTCTTGTCGCTTGATAAACTTATAGTTGAGCCACGGCAGTCACATGGAATATTTAAACATTTTCTTCATTGACTTTCTGGGCCGTCAAGAGCCAGTCCCTTAGGAGCCAATGTGGTAGTTTTACAGCTCTCAAATTTAATCAAAAATATCTTCATTTGTGTTCCGAAGATGAACGAAGGTCTTACGGGGTTGGTACAGCATGGGGGTGAGTAATTAATGACTTAATTTTCATTGGGGTGAACTAACCCTTTAATACAAACATAGATGGTACTGACATTTATCATCAGCATCTAGCTTTTGTTTTTAAATTGGGTTGAACTTACTACATAAAAATAATCTTAAGTAAAAACAACTGTAACCATGTGAAATTAAAGGCAAAAACTGCATAGTTCACGTCACAATCAACCCACATTCAACAATCCAAACAAAGATGTTTGGCTATTCAATCAGCATTTGTTTTGTTTTTAGTGAAACAATAAAACCAAAATAAATAAATTCTAAATTCTAAATTCTAAAATGTTAAATCAAATAATGTTTAGTGCAACGAGTAAAACAAAGATGCTACAGCAGGTGCTTTTTAAAGGAGAACTCCGGCGAACAATGAACCTTTGGTCTAATAAAACGTCGGTACCTAGTCAACCATTCTCTGAGTTTTGTTTTCATGATAATCGAATGTAAAGAGTTTTATCTCTAAAAACTGTTTAGCATATAATGCTAGTATATGGGGGCATTGAGTAAGTAAAAAGAAATCGCTAGTTTATACCACTAACAAGGCTCAAAATAGCCCCACACTCACACAGTAACAAAATGAGGCTCCATGCATGCAAAACGAAGCATTGAGAACTTTGTAAGTGTACAGACCGTTTAATAAGAAGATACTTTATGAAGACAGTTCACTTCGCGTATACAGGCAGGAGCCATCTTAAAAAATAGTCTCGATAAGTCGATCCCCGAACGCCATTCATACAGTTCAGAAGTTCGTTGAACTTCATAGAGTTCAGATCACTCAGCACGACGTTCGTGGTTCGACTTATCGAGACTATTTTTTAAGATGGCTCCTGTCTGTATACGCGAAGTGGACTGTCTTCAAAAAATATCTTCTTATTAAACGGTCTGTACACTTACAAAGTTCTCAATGCTTCGTTTTGCATGTATGGAGCCTCATTATGTTACTGCGTTAGTGTGGGGCTATTTTGAGCCTGGTTAGTGGTATAAACTAGCGATTTCTTTTTACTTAGTCAATGCCCCCATTACTAGCATTATACGCTAAACAGTTTTTAGAGATAAAACTCTTTACATTCGATTATCATGAAAAGAAAACTCAGAGAACGGTCGACTATGTACCGATGTTTTATTAGACCAAAGGTTCATTGTTCGCCGGAGTTCTCCTTTAAATCAAATTAAGTCAAAGTACTCTAGGGCTGGAATGGGCTCTGGAATTTTCTCACTGGAACAGACTCATGGCTGGAGCGGGTTCTGGGGCTGGAGTGGACATTGGAGTGGCAGAGATGATCCTGATGTTAAGGGATATATGGAGGGTTTTGTTACAGGCTTAGGGTGAGTTGGAGTGCCCAAACGTTTTCGGGATGTTACTGGATGAGGGTTGTAATAGTTCTCTTTAACTTCTTCCACCAAGAAATCAGAACCATTTAGCCAAACGATGAAATGAATGGAATCGACTAATAGTGAATCACAATGACCAGGAGACAGGAACCGAATCATCCAGTCCCATCTGAAAGCAGGCATTGAGGGCAGTGTTGCTCCAACTCACCAGATGGGAGGAGTCTAAACTCCTCATACCACTCTAGAGGACGACCATCTCGACGGAAAGAGAGTAGATGATCTTCAGCCATTTTGTTTGCCTTTGAGGTCTGGTCTTCTGTCATGACAAAAGGATGCATATCCAAATAACAACTTTATTTGCAGGTTTGGCAGACAATTGGCTTTATGCACAGCTGCACTACTTCCTGAACTTAAGCCAGCTCCTTGTTTCCTGTCTGCCATTATTGGACAGCTTGATTAATTCAGGTGTTTCTGATTATTGTCGCCGTGACTACTGAGGTCAATCACACCTGAATTAATCAATTTGGCCAATAATGGCAGACATGAAACAAGGAGCTTGCCTAAGTTCAGGAAGTAGTGCAGCTGTGCATAAAGCCAATTGAAATAAGCAGGTGAGAAATGGGTAGCTGAAGGAATGAGAGTGGATAACAGTCTTGTGTCGCAGAGTGTTGGAGATGGTGAACCGGATGGCTGAAGCTGGAGACAGACAACTGAAGACTGAATAAGTGTGTGGTCAGGTAAGTAGTTCAGGTTTGAATGACAAGACCAGACAGAGCGAACTGGGGTTTGACTGGTTAAATGGAGTGGAGCTAGCCTGGATGCCAGCCCGAACTCCGCCCACAACATTTTTTTGGTCGGGAAGTTCGGTCTGGACTCGATCCATTGAGGAGTAATTATGATCAGGCAAGAAATGAATGGGCCAATCAAATTGCCAGGGCGGGCTTTATACGATGATGGACAGGTGATCTGCAGGGACGTAATCATCACGTTATCAAAGAGCGCTTGTCAAAGATGACTGCAGCTGGAGAATTGAGATGTATAGATTCCGCTGTCGCGTCTGTTGTAAAATAAATCGACAGCGCATTAATTTTAATAGACAAACTAAGAACTGCAATCAAGGCATTTGTCGATCAGAAAGATATTTTTGGCGTCCTGCCAACATGATTCGGGAAAAGTGTAATTTATCAGCTGGCTCTGACGGTCGCTAAGAAGATGGGACGTAATGAAATGCCTGTGGTCGTTGTGGTTTCTCGTTTGGTCGCACTCATGGAGGAGTATGTAGAAGAAGCAACAATCGTTATTTAACTTCTAAAATAAGTAAGTTCTGTAGTTCAAAGGGGTCGACTTACTGCGTTGCTCTGATTGGTTGTAGGTTTACTGACTATCCAATTGAGTGCAGAGTTTTTTTTTTCTGGTTCTGTTAAGACACGCCTAATAATCAAAGCCCAACGGAGCGGTACCAGAGCCCGTCTAACGTAGAGCCTTGGCACTTCCTATTAGCCCCGTTGTGTATCATCCTGGTTGCAGTTCCATTAGAATTCCACTGGAGGTGATCGCGGGCGAGTGCAGAATGAATGGGAGTCTATGGGGCTAAACGGCTAAAAGTGTCTCTTTCACCTGCTTGTCGTTAAATTAACACTAAAACGGCCACAGCGTTCATTTTGACCGTTTTAAATTTTATATCTACAATAACTTTGTTGAAAAAAATAATAAAATCCTGCTGGTACCTGACTTTTCCTAAAATTGTCTGTGTTTTCATTTAAAATGCTTTTCATATAAATTAAGTTACGTAAACGTAAGGCAAAACAAAAAAAATGAACATATTTACCTATTTCGGCCATAGACGGTCATATTGACCGCACTGAATTTTGCGGTATTTTTTTTTTGTTAAATATCCCGCGGTTGATCGTGTTCTCTCTCAACTGTCAACACAAAGGTCCGTCCGGTCACTGTTTGCTATATAATAATTTCTACATTAGTTGTTGATCAGAAATAAGCAAATGAAACCGGACTACAGTTATACTTACGTTATCTATAGGCTATATAGCCTATATATATATTGCAAGGCTAAAATGTCTAAAATGAATGAGCGAATGAAGAGGAACATGACTCGAACCATGGCCCTGGAGATGCTTCAGAACTTGACGAGTGATGATTCGGATGCAGGGGAACAATCGGAGGTGGAAAGTGACAGCGACGTTTCCTGGGTGCAAGTTATCATTTCCTCCTCATCAGAGAGTGATTCAGAGTCAGAGTCCACATCAAGGAAAAAGAGACGGCTGCTATCATCAGACACGGCGGATCCAGATGTTCTGTTCATGTCGGATGATCCTGGTGAGATCTGCTGCCCTGTCCTGCGCTGTTTGTTTTGCTTCATGGGCTGTTCACTAGTTCTGCTAGTCCTATTATTTTTATTAGCTTATTGACCGCTTCGCAAATCGTCACTATCTAACATTTTCGTCATAGTTTTTGTCATTCAAACCTAGTTTTTATTTAGTTATCGTCTCGTTTTCGTCTTTGAAAAAATGTGGTTTACGAAAATAATTACAAAAATTATTCGTCAACACTGTTTTGAATCTAACGGTCAAAATGACCGTTTGTGGCCGTTCTAGTAGTTTTGGAATTCTGGCACTTCTAGTGTTAACATAGATTTTATTGTTGATTACACAAGTTCAATATAGATTATAGGCCAAAAGTCGAATGAACGAGTACTTATGTCCTTTTGATTTCTTACAGGTTAGGCCGTTGTTGGCCGGAACACGTTAGCATTCTCACATTTTTGAACGGATTTTTAGGACACAGATAAGTGAACTTAAAAATGCAATTTTCAGCTGAGTGTATTATCTTATCCCTCCCTTTTGAATGCAACTTTCAAATTACTTGACAAAAAATTACATTCTGAGAAAAGTGGATTTCTGGGGGTGAAACCCCATTGACTCCCATTCATTCTGCACTCGACCGCGAGCGCCCCCGCATGGACAGAGACGAGTTACTGCAGCCAGTCCAGAACCCGGAAGTAACCAGCCAGTGCCAATTCTCTTCAATTAGACATTCTCTGGCGGCATCAGACTCATTTTCTTATTGGAAAATGAGTATGACGAAGTCAGGCTAGAGTGGAGCTGGCTGATGAGGGTAAATGATGGCAGGTATGGATGATTGTGAAGTATGTGAAGGTGTGAGCCAGGGGGGATTATGGGAAATGTAGTGTGGAGGTGACTGGTAATGGTGAATTGACTGGACTGGTGACTGATGATTAAAAATGTATTTCTCCTGACCCTTTTAACCCTTTAAACCTTTGTTATTTATTGAACGTTGCATTTTTTAAAAATATATGTGCGTGTGTTTTTCAAATACAAGGACAAGCCAATCTATCATTCAGATGACCTTATTTCTGCACATGTATAATTTATATTAGTAGAATAAGGAGTCTAACCTGGGCTAGTGCTGTCCTCAGTTTCAAATGTCTCCTATTGCAGAAAATATCATGTTAACAAAATAACAGATTCACTTCAGGATATGAAAATATCCGATTTTCTGAAATGTCTTACATTCTGCCATTCGGAGCCTCTCTCCCTCCATCTGATCTCGTATTTAGCACTTTTGTCATCGTTTGGTTTGTCCAGTTTGAGAGACAGGATTCCAGCTGACCTTTTCATTCTGGTAATCTGAGGTGCACTGTATTTGACTGTTGACAACATGAGAGTGACACATTAGGGGCGACATGCCATGCAAAATATTATGCTGATAATATAAGTAATTATTTACATTTATAATAATCTAACTAATATTTAACATAACTTATGTATTAATTATAATACTAATTTAAATGATAATGTAATATAATATACCATGTTACCATATCATATACCAATTTATTAGAGACATGCAACAACTTTAGAATTGCACTATATAAAGTGTCAGAAAACAGCAGTTTGAATGCATCTCTTAGACTGGTTCTTACCCAAGCATTCAAGGATGACTGAGATTTTGCTAGAATTGCAGGTGAGATTGCCCACTTGTGTTTGCACCCATATGTCCGTCTTGCTTGTTGTGAGTCCTAGTTCCTCCAAGATAATATATTTCTCTGATTGATCGCCAGAGTTAGCACACAATATAAAACTTTTCTTTTCACTGTCCCTGTACACACCAGGAATTGATAGTTAGATTCGTGCAGACTGACATGCATAATCAAGCCTCTGTATCTGTTATTTAGTTTAGTATTTCAATAATAAACACATTATGGCAACTCAATTTAATCTGTTCATCGTATGAAGAGTCTCGAGTCTCTTCAGAAAATTTAGACTAAACCTCTAGAGTCATATGGATTAATTTTATAATCTCTTCATGAACTTTTAAAAGTGTAAAAGTAGTAATAGCATAGACTATCTCTCAGATTTCATTTAAAATATTTTCATTTGTGTTTTGAAGGTGAACAAAAGTCTTACGGGTTTGGGACGATGTGAGGATGAGTACTTAATGGCCCTTTTTTCATTTTTGGGTGACTAACCCTTTAACTTTCGAAAATAATCTTACCCTAAGAAATATAAAGTTAAAACTAGCCCCGGTCTCCCCATTACTGTTTCACAATATGTGCCACATTCTTTAACTCTGAGATTTGATCATTTTTCATAACTTTAAAGACAATGAGATCGGTTCATGTTACTTTTTAATGTGTTGTTTGAACTCACCATATATAAAGAGTGTGTGTCTGATTCTCCTTAGGGTTTCTCTTATCCCATTTACACATAAAGTCGTCTTGCAGAGAAGTTGAATTTTTGTAACACTGCGGACTAGATGTAGGTATACATCCTGCTGCTTTAAAGACATTTACATCATGGAAAAAACAAAATCTGTAAGTTTGACTGTTGTAACTCACCTGATGCCAAGTAAGTTTCTTAAAGAAGTTTATTATGTTCATTAAGGCTGCAGTTATTTGATGACAAATGCGGTAAAAACATTAATGTTGTGGAAAAAAAAAATGTTTTCTATTTAAAAAAAAAATGTAATTTAATTGTGTAAAAATCCTGAATTTTCATGATCATTTATCCAGTCTTTAGTGTCACATGATCCATCAGAGGTACTCAAGAAACATTTACATTATTATCAATGTTGAAAAGAGTTTTTGCTGCCTAATATTTTTGTGAAAGCCATGATACACTCTATTTAAAAGTTTAAAGGAAATAAGTCAACAATGCATTAAATTGATCATAAGTGAGAGTAAAGACTTTTACAATGTTACAAAAGATTTCTATTTTAAATAAATGTTGTTCGTTTAAATTTTCTATTCATCAAAATCCCAAAAAATAAAATTACGGTTTTCACATAAATAAAAGCAGTAAAAACCCTTTTTAATATCGATAATGATAAACATTATTAATACAATCACCAATAACAATTGATAATAAATGCACCAAATGAGCATATTATTATGATTTCTGAAGAATCATGTGACACTGAAGACTGGAGTAATTATGCTGAAAATTCAGCTCTTCCGCCACAGAAATAAATTAAATTTTTAAATATATTCAAATAGAAAAAGTTATTTTAAATTGTACTAATATTTCACAATACTACTGTTTTTACTGCATGTTTGATGAAATACATGCTTGGTGAGAGCAAAAGACACAAAAAGTCCTCTTGAAATTGTAATCATCACAAACATTTGACTACATACAAAGTATTTGGCTTTTTAAATCAGATTGATGTTATAGTAAACACCCAAAAGAGCAGTACCTTGAATTTGTTTACATCCTGTGGGTTTATAGTTGTTTAATGGTGGTTTAGCCAAATGGCGACTGGGTCACAGCTCTGATAAAATCTACACACCATTACAATCTTCGGAAATCTACATTGCAACTTCCGTAAAGTCTATCAAGCTAATCTTAATATCTTCTTTCTCGGTCTGCGGTGTTGAATATGTGCCGTTCGCATTGATAACATCAGCAAACGTACCTTCAGTCAGGCTGACAGAAACAACAAACAGCAGCACAGCCACTCTTATCCCCATCGCTTCTCGTGTTCGGAAAAGTCCTCACTCATAAGACATGGCTAATACACAGGCAGTTCAAGAAGATCTTTGTACCCTGAATAAACATTAACAATCCTTGGGTTGGAAGTCATCTGGTCTAGACACATGAGGGGTTTGTGTGATATGTATGCACTACTCATGTGTCTTTCTGGGGCAGAATGAAGTGCAAACTACTGCATCACCACAAACCACAACACGAGAGCAGCAGGGGAAGCTCATCTCACTTCATGAGAAAGAGCAGGTTTGGTTGCCTGCTACACCCCTGTTTTTTTTTTACCTTCACTTTCAAACGTGAACATGCGAGATGAAGATGCCCCATGGGTTCTTTCGACAAATTAAATCATAAACCTAATTGTACAAACCTATTGAGATCGCTTTCCAACAAAATCATCATTAACCTGACGTGGGTGGCTTTTAGTAAAGTGGTGCTTTAGAGTAATCAGGATTTGACTCCTGAAACCGACTCCATTTTTACATCCTTATTTCATTTGTAGCACGCTCCATTATCCTTAACACACAAAAACTAAGTTCATAAAAAGTTTTCAAGGATTTAAGTATTTAAATTCTATGTGAATTACTTTACACTTGAGTCAGGCAAAAAACCCGGTCACTCATTCATCATAGCAATGGAACTTTTAGTGATGCAATTAAACCTCCTAAATGTTTTGTTTTGTTGTCTGTTCTCTGAGACCTTTGCGCTCTTGGTCATCTATGCTGGTTTCTGTCAAGTGATTAGTGCAATTTAGTTTCACTTCTTTATAGGTGTGTTTGTGGGTGAGGTGAATAGGAAGGCTTCAATTTAACCGCACTCTGCATGCGGCCAGTATTACAGTGATGTGAATCGCTTTCGTAAGTTATTAATAGTATCTGTGTAGCTAAGCAGTAGTAGTAGGCTACATTGAGTGTTCGTCTGAGGGAACTTTCCAACTTCACTAACGTTCTTTTCGAACTTGTGCGAATTTAGATTGAAAGTAGATCACAAAAACATGCTTTTATGTCTTGTTTGTGATGATGACTGCACATTTTTAAGAAAGGTCACATGAAAGGTTTCCTAGAAATGGTGAAATCCATTTTCTGTGACAGTGACTCTAGTTTAAATGTCAAATAAAGTGATTCACTTGTAAAAAAAAAAGAAGACATTTTTGTACGTTCCTGCCTACTACTTGTTTCACTTTTATGTAAGGTGTGAAGGTTATGTGTGAAATTTTTTTTTTTTATATAATCAAATGAGTTAATAAGTAAATCTCAAATTCACAGAGAAACAATGCAACAATACTTGTCACATCACATACACCTGCAACTTATCACCTGCTCATCATTTGGACTATACCATTTAAGCAGCCTCAGTCAGGCCAACGCATTCTCATCCCAAAGCGCCATATACAACGCTTTTGCAAAAGCGTAAATATCCAACGCACATGGCACCCTTTAACGTCTAATGAGACACTTCGGTTATGGTTAAGTTTAGGTATGGTGTAGGGTAAGGGTTAGACCACTAGGGGGCGCCTTCTGCCCAAATATATCTGCGTCTCATTTGACGTTAAAGGGTGCCATTTGCGTTGGATATTTACGCTTTTGCAAAAGCGTCCTATATGGCGCTTTGGGATGAGAACGGGCTCGTCAGGCTGTGTATGAAATCACATACTCGCGTAGGTACTTATTTTGAGTAAATAATTACCACCGGAACAGGAAATCCCACTGGAACAGGCCCACGAAGAAGCGCGCCTCTAGTGGAATGAGCTCTGACGCCCAGAGGGCAACGAAGGCTCTCAGGTGTATAAGCCAGTGAGATAGCGTCCACTATCCACCTTGAAAGGATATGTTTCGAGGCTGCTAGACCTTTAGATTGGCCAACAAACGAAAGAAACAGCTGTCCTGACCGTCTGAAAGCAGCCGAACGTTTTTACGTAAATTCTCAGGGCCCTAACCGGGCAAAGGAGATTCACGTCAGACTCGTTGTCAGAGCCAAAGAGGGCTGACAGAGAGATGACTTGTTCACTGAAAGGAGTGGCAAGTACTTTGGGGATATAAGCATGTCTTGGTTTGAGAATGACCTTGGAGTCATTATGCCAAAACTAAGCGCGTCTAACATAAAGCGCGTGTAAGTCATCCACCCGCTTGACTGAGGCGATAGCCACCAGAAAGGGGGTCTTCAACTAGAGATACTTAAGGTCCACAGACTTTAGAGGTTCGAAAGGGGCACCCTTCATGGCCTCCAGGACCAAGGAAAGGTCCCATATGGGAACCGAGGGGGACGAGTAGAGTTCATCCTTCACTGTCAGAAAAAAAGGTACGAAAGCTGTCACTGGGGCGGTACTTTTTCAAAAAGGTACACTTTTGTACCTAAAGGGTGCATATTGGTACCATATGAAGTACCAATATGCACCCTTTAGGTACAAAAGTGTATCTTTTGAAAAGGTACAGCCCCAGTGACAGCTTTCGTACCTTTTTTTCTGAGAGTGTTCTAGCTCCCCTGCGGAAGCGGACTACAAAGTCATTCCTACCCAGTGACTGGCCATGCGAATGTTTGACTAACGCAGCAATAGCCGCTACATATACCTTGAGAATGGATGGGGATCTACCCTTATCCAAGAGCTCCTGAAGGAATGAGAGAACCTCACACCACAATCTTGTGGATCCAGTTTGCGAGCTGAGCACCAACCCGAGAACACTGACCATTTGGAAGCATAAAGCCGCCTAGTAGAGAGCACTCTAGCTTGCGTAATCATGTTTAACCGTCCGTCTGGTAGACTGACGGGTACCCGTTGATGGCCCACACATTCAGAGCCCAAAGCTCGGGTCGTGGGTGCCAAATCGTTCACCCGGCCTGTGAGAGGAGATCTCTCCTCAACGGGACAGGCCACGGAATTAAGCTCTGAAGCTGCATCAGCTCCAGGAACCAAACTTGGTTCGGGCAGAAAGGAGGAACCGTTCTTCCTGATACGCTTGACTACCCGTGGTAATCAACAACATCGTGATCGGAGAGAAAGCATAGAGAGGGCGGCTGGGCCAGTGCGTCCTTTTTCTTTATGAAGCATAATGGACATGGAGTGTTGTCATGAAACGCAAAGAGTTCGGCTGCCGCTGTGCCTAAGGTATCCCACAACAGGGGATCTGTCTGAGAGTGGAGGGACCATTCCCCTGGGGGAACGTTGTCCCTGGACAGCCTGTTTGGACCCACATTTAGATGGCCTGGCACATGCACCGCTCTCAGCAAGAGTAGGTTGCGCTGAACCCATACAACGAGTGCATAAAGGTCCTTTCAGTAATTTCAGTCATTTTGCATGAAACCACCGTTCTAATTCCTGCAGGCGATTTCTACAGACTCTCAACAAAAGAAGATATAAATACTCTTTCAATGTTCAGCAATATGTCAAAACATCCCAAGTCAACCACCAAAATACATTTACTTAACATTGTATACCGTGCAGCAGTGGATGCCCAAAACTGTTCAATCAATCACCATTACCCTAGCACCTGTTTCACCCTACTTCTCTCCCTCTCTTAAAGGATACTCCACTTTTTTTGGAAATAGGCTCATTTTACCACTCCCCCAGAGTTAAACAGTTGAGTTTTACCGTTTTCGAATCCATTCAGCTGATTTCCTGATATTTAGAAGAATATCAGTAACCAGACAGTTTCTGGTCTCATTGACTTCCATAGTAGGGAAAAAAATATACTATGGAAGTCAATGAGACCAGAAACTGTCTGGTTACTGATATTCTTCTTAATATCAGAAAATCGGCTGAATGGATTCGAAAACGGTTAAACTCAACTGTTTAATTCTGGGGGAGTTGTAAAATGAGCCTATTTCCAAAAAAAGTGAAGTATCCCTTTAAAGAAACCATGTCCTAGCGACAACATTCTCCCCGGTGACCCCTAGTGGCCGGGAGGAAATTACACCCTGTAATAGTGAAACTATGGTTACAATACGTACCTGCATACTCAACTGCATTGTCATCCAGTTTTGCATTAAACTCCCACTCCTAGGTTCATCTCTATTTCCTGTGGTGGTGTTACAGTATATTACACACAATGTACAATGTGTTTTGTTTATGATTTTTTTACATTATCCTGGAAATTTACATCAGACTTTCTGTTGGGAAAAACAAGTATATAACCTTTTTTGTAAACTAAAACAATCTCAAAGGTTGCTAGTATTGATGTATTATATTCCTATTATGTATATTTTGCACATTGCTGAAAATGCTTAATCAAACTTAATAAAATTTTAAATATTGATTTATTTCATTTAAAATAACCTATATTTGGTGTTAATTCATGAATAAAATAATGAAAAATCATATGATATTTGTCATAATTTCATGGTCAACAATAAGATTTTCCTGACTTTCAGATATATGTCGCCATCTCGTGTTCAAAAATGCGTATTGATCATAACAATTTCAATATCTACCTTCATAAAACTAAAAACTTACACCTGCTGAATGTAATCGGTTAACCAGCTAAAAGTATTTTAGATTCTCACAATGTGATTTTTCTGTTGTTGCAAGCAAAAAAATAAAAAACGTATTGAAAGGATTCACATTTAATACTTGTGTTGGCTAAAACTTTTTCCTTTCATCATAAGATTTGTCAAGATTCTATTAATATTAAAAAGCATGTCTGTGAAATATGATGCATGCATAAGAATCTGTGGTCATGTTGCAATTACTAATATTCCACTATTACAGTATTGCAATGCCACTAATATATTTTATTTTTTAATCCAAAAACAGAAGTTGTTACAGTTAGTCGTTCTCTGTGTTAGCTGAGTTCACTTTTGTTTATCACCGATGTATAATCAGCAAAAAAAGAGAGGGAGAGGAGAAGGTAGGTCCTCATCTCCATGGTAACTGAGAGACCTCGGCTCTCTCTTATTTTGTGGTGTTCCAAGTCCTCAACACAAAGAGAAAGAGCAGAAAGGAAAGCCTGAAAATATTTACCATAATTTCTGTTGATGTAAATATCAAAGCTAAGTGCATATTGGAACTTTTACTTAACTCTATTACATATTTGTCAGAGGATGTTTACAAGGATGTGCATGCGTAGAGTTAGCTCATTGCATTGATGTCAACATTTGTAATCAGGAAGCAGTACTTCTGGTATATGTGCAAAATGCACGTCTGCACTCCTGTTTGTGCAGCCAACAGCCAGTGCAATCTCCTGATTGGTCAAGAGCTTGCCCTGACCATAAAAACCGTAATCATTAATTTCATGCCAAG